ATTACCTGCTAATTAATACGGGTTAAACACTTTTAATTTTTCACTACTTATATATTTTCACCGTGCACCGATCGTCTTACTTTTCACTCTGCGCTGTTCTCACCTCAACTATCTAGGCTTCCTTCCAGAAATCCCCACCCAAGCGTTCGTTTTTGCACTTCCTTCTACCAACTGTCAATATCACGTTTATATTATTGTAACAGGTGATGTCGAAGTTGATACGATAAGTATGGTTTTGCACACCACCAAGAGAAAAAAAATTTTCGTTGTCATTTAAAATAACATCATTTGATTAGTTACAAAATAGAGGTGTGAAATTTTCATTAATGTAAACTTCAATTTTACGCACCATTATTATTCCAAGTAAGTGATTTACTTGGAAATTGCCACCAATTTTTTTACAGGTAATCATTTTTGCATACTTTTTGGTAATCAAACACATTTAAATTTAGTTAGAGGAATTTTATTTACGTGCGTGAGAACAAAAGCCAAGTTGGAGAAACGAATTCAAAACAGACCAGAGATAATCTGGTATTTCTAGGTGCATGCGCTTATTTCTTCAGCATAAATTGCCTAATAAGTTACTAAATTGCTCATTTCACCCATGACTAAGTGTTATTGCGATAACGAAAATTATTAACCATTTTTATTTAATAAAATAGCATTTTTATGGAATTTCATAAATATTTGTCACATCTACAAGAGTTTTTCTTGAGATCCTGGGAATTCTCATAAAAGGGAATGTTTGATACGCCATACCGCAGCTTTATTCTCGTACGTTTTTCCGGTAAAATACATATTGAAACACCAAAAATACTTTTTTCGTTCAGCATGTAATAGCTCAATAAAAAAATAATAAAGTTGATATTGGTTTCCCGGAATCAACACATTGAAACAAAAAGTCCACAATGAATCTGGTTGTAAAAATTACTACTAAAATAATGTTTTTACATACTTATGTATTTAATGTACGTTGTAAGATACATATGTAAATAGTAGAGACAAGCTGTTTGTGTAGTAAACAATGCCTATTTACAATTGTATCTTCAATAACTGTAAAAGAATCACTTTATGATGAACAACCAGATTGGTCCATATTATCTATACTTTCCAATATTTGAATTTCATATTCCAATAATGAATTAATTATACTATATTAACGTCATTTTACAACCATTATAGATACCTTTCGCTGATTATTTTAAAAATAATTTATCTCCTTTTCATTAGTAAAATTTTGACGTGTGTATTGGGGATTTTCTTAAACAAGTGATACGGACGGGAAGGAAAGCTTTACACAAGGAGTGCTTAAAACGTACGTTGAAATTTCCACAAGGAGTCATGATCTGTGGATGTGTGTAGTCGAAGGGAGTGGGAAGACTATAGAGTTCGTTAACAGCATCGTTAATGCAAATAAATATCGGAATATCTTGGAAGGTAACTTATTGCCGACAGCATCAGAACAATTTGGCGACAGAAGTCATACGAGCAAACTTGCAAAAAAAATATGTGGAGACAATGTTATTAAAGTGTTGAACTGGCCATCAAGCAGCCCCGATCTAAATGTAATTGAAACATTATGATACCATATGAAAAATTCCATGCGAGACAATCCTTAAAGGACAATTCCTGGTCTCAAAAGGAGTATCCAGGTGATTTGGGAATTTTTCAAAGAGAATTCGCGTTCTTATAGCGCCCAAAAATGACATCACTAGATACTAGATCATAAGCAAACTCTTCTGTTTGAACATTTGCTTACCACCATACTTGCAACTTTGGTTTAATTTTGGTAGCAGTTCAACTGTTTTTTTTTTAGCAAATTCAATCAACTTTCTTAAATACCAAATTTATGACAATAATGTGCAATCCGGACATTTATTTATTAGGGCTCGTTAAAGCTAACTTTGGAAAGATTATCAAATATTGTATTTGCATCGTGATCTGACATTTTAAAACGACATGTTATGTCTGCCTCATTGCGATAAGCTCTAAGTGCGTACAAGTTCAAGTGCATGAGAACACCTTCTGCATTTTAAACCTGCCCACAAATCGGGCGTTTCGAAACGCTCACCTAAGAAACTATTTTACTGTCTATCCCATTCCCATTGTATGCATGAGTGAGTCAAGCGCCCATCAAAACGTAGGAAATATCTCTCGCAGACACAAGCACACGCAGTGATATGCGTTTTGAACGCGCTGCATTTGTTATTTAATAGTCGGTGGTTTCCAAAATGTTTTGAAATATCTTAGCAGGCCGTGAGCGTTCCCTTTTTCTTTTGTTTTCGATATAAACTATGATCGCCAAAGGTCATGACTTTTACTGTGGAAATGTACAAAATTACATTCGATACGTTGACTTGAAGAAAAAAAAATTCGAATAAATACTTCCTTAACTCCTTCTGTTTTTTGTATATCACTGCCCACAGTTTCAGTGGGTAGTATTTCGTAAATAGTTGAAAGTATAAAAAATGCTAAATAGAAAAAAGTCTTAAATCTAAATATTCTGTCAAACAAAATATTTTTATTCTATATTTGAAGCATAGCCACTGAAAATGTAACACCGTTTTCTCACATATACGCTTGAAGGTAATGTTATGCGCCTTGAATACGCTGCGTCTCCTATATCAATAACCAGTGGTTCTCAACATGTTTCTAAAAGTCTTAGCAGGCTGCTGAAACTATTTAATCTTCCATTCCTATTGTATATACGAATGAGTCAAGCGTAGATCTGAACGAAATAAATATCTCACACACATACATATACGCAATGATATGCATTTTGAATGTTCTGCATTTCTTAGTTCAATAGTCAGTGGTTCCCAAAATGTTTTCAAAAATCTTAACGGTATCAGTTTTAGTTTTTTGTTTGCCAGATAAACTCATCGTTTTCAAGTATTCAAACCCTTGTAACTCCTTATATTTAATTTATTGAAACTCTGGTAGTTGTCAGTCTGATATAACCCACTCAATTGCACATGTCAGCATGAAAATATCTGAAAAAAGTGTAGAAACAAATGGAGGGATTTGAGGAACCTAAAACCGACAAGTTATGTAATCATAAGTGAAATCAACTATCAAAAAATGAAATTAAAAAAATTAAAATATAGTTTTGAATTTTAAAATCATAATATTTTGTGAAATTTATGAAATTATCGGTCATAGATAGTTATAAGTAAAAAAACCTTCCCAATTAGTAGAGACTTGTATCTGGATACAATTTTTTTGCCTTAAATCCTAGTTTGCTTATTTACATACAAAATGACGTAATTTTGAAACGATTCAAGTTAATTATGTTATTTGCGTATTATACTTTAACCATTTTTTCTAGGTCCTGTCAAAAACTGACAAGTTTTTAAAAATATTTTTTCTTAAAATATTAACAGTTAAGACACTTTAGTTCTTTAGTTACAGTCCATGCAATATTTTTTGTGGTGGAATTACAAGAAAAAAAATCCAATAAAGTTCTGTTATTGGAACTACTGGAACAATTTACCGCGGTAGGGGCGTGCCTTGAAATTTTCCGCGTTATTTTTAAAATATACATGTAGATTTTTTTGATTAAAATGTGTTTTTATTTCTTTTACATTCCAGTAGTGTACAAATCATAATTAAACTACTACTACTACTACTACTACTACTACTACTACTACTACTACTACTACTACTACTACTACTACTACCTATTTAAGTAAGTGCTATCCCAACAAATATCGTACGGATTATAACTAGAACAAAAAAGATTTTCGTTTTAGAACCAAAAAAAGTCTTATGATGCATTTTCAATATAATGTAATATGAAATACACCTAAAAAGACAAATAATATCCTCTGAGTATATGTCTTGCTATCAGAAATTTGATTCATAATAACATAACATTTGTCTTCTATATCGTGTAGTCATATTTAGTACTTCCTCTTTTCTACAAGATCTTCTATTATACGAGTATACGTCAAATTAGTTTATAGTATATGTTAACATTTTTACTGTCTTTCGCTCGGGTATTTTATCAATATTTCGAAGTTTCAAATAATTTTTCCTTTTCAGAAAAATAAGCATGATGGTGACGACACTATTCTTATGCTGTCGTGGATTAAATTTTCACGGAAGTGGATTATTTCGACATTTTTTTAAAGTAAACGACGATCATAGAAAGACTATTGTTTGTATTTGTAACACGTACAAAAAGTCCTTTTATGAATTTGTGTTAACATTTTTCTATCTACCTAGATGTATCCCAGTTACCACGACGACTATTATGCACAATACTTTATTCACAACCTTGCATTTTATTTATATTTGTGGAGTAATATTTTAAATAATGATCGTTTCAATATATTACGCCACTGTAATATTGTATTTGATAACAACTACATTTAAAATAGTGCATGTAACTTGAATAACTTTTAATTTTTTCAATATTCCTTTTTATACAGGATGATTCACAAACAGTGGCCAAAAACGAAACTTCGTATTCTTTGTTGAATTTTAAAGAGAGCCTTTCGTATAAATTTTTTATCTAGGACGCTTCGTTAAAAAGATACAGGGTGTTAAACTTAAACAAAATTCACCTAAGAATACGAGGTTTCATCTTTGGTCACCGTTTGTGAATCACCCTGGATATAATATAAGTAAATCTGAATTTCGTCTGTCCCTCTTTCTTTATATTAATTTTACCGCGAAAGCGCATATTTTTCGTACCCATTCGACTGGATGCACTGTCGCCTGGCCATCTGGCTGAATATTTTTCGCCCCACATTTCCCGGCGACGAAACAAAACGGACGCGCGGCTTACTTTTCCGCAATCACTCTAATTGCACCTAAGATCAAGTCGTCTTGAGAATCCCCGCGAATCCGGACAATCGCCGGCCGACCAGATGTTGGGGACCGCAGAGTTAAAGACCACCGTTTGATAATGGTAGCGGTGCAACGTCTCGGGTGCCGGCCGCGGCGGCAGTCAGTTGTTTCGATTCTTCTTCGCGTTGAGGTACGCGAGGCCTTCTTCGATTGAGGAGTACAAGCGCGATAACGGAGTTGTTCGAATAATGTGACGTTTCGAGCGTGCCTTGTGACCCTTTGGATTTGTTTTTTTTTTTCAAGTAAATTTGTATCGATGATTGTGAATACGTCGCAGCAAAAAGGGTGAATTTTTTTCAGATTTTATTTTTTTTTCGTTATCTTACTAATTAAAAATCTAAGCCAGTATGAGGATTATGAAGTCAATTTTATGTCACTCTTTATTTAATGGGACAAAACTTATATTTTCTCATATGGATGTATAATAACTGTTTTTTATACACCTTGGTCCATTTTATATTGAAACGCCCTTATAAAAGAGGAATCTATTGTTTGATTAAATTTGAGTTTTTTTTTGCAAATTAGAGCCTAAATTCTATTATTTTCGTTGTCAGGTTTGACACAATTAGTGTTTTAGCGATTTTTACACCTTTTCAATTGGGCTGGCGCCCAAAAAAAATACTCATTATTAATTGTAAAATTGATGTTAGTGATTCTAATCATCGCCGTTCTTACTAAACGGAATAAGCAGTCTTTCAAATCATAAATAAATTAAATAAACACAAAAAATCTCCATTAATACAGTTTTAAATTAAATAATAATTTTTAATGTTAGCGGATGAACCATTAAATTATTATTATGAATTACAAAAATTTACAAATAATGACAATAATAACATAATCATAGAAACTTACAGCCTCAATCTAAATATTTTAATCTTCTCTCAAATCTCTTGTTCTGTTTTATGGGTTTATTAGAAGAAGTCTAATAGTTAAAAATATCAAATTTCACTTAATAAAAAAACATTTTGTTTATTTATCTAATTAATTTATAATTCATATATTGCTTATCCAGTTCTAAAAGAACAGAAATCATAAAATACATACATCAATTTACTTTTACTGTAGCGATCGGTATTTCTTCACAAATTTTGGCAGTGAGGGTGTAGGATCCAGTGACGTAGTTATATTTTAAATTAAAAAATCAACCGGTTTTTCTCAATTTTAACAACGAAAAATATAATAAGTAGGTTTTAATACTGAAAATAAATTTAAGTACTATGTAAAGTAATAGAGATTTTTAAGCTAAAAAAACGAATTACATTGAACGATAAATACCTTTTTTGCTTAATGTTTCCATTTGAAGTGGGTCACTCTGTATACAGGCTGTCCCTGTTTTATTGTGACAAAAAAATGGGGAAATGGTACGCAAATAAAAATAATAGGACCATGCTATATAAACATAATTCGAAATCTCAACAGTTTTTGAAATGTAACGTGTTGAAAAGTGAAAAAAATAACATTTTTCAAAATATCCCTGAAGATGCTTGTAGGAATATAATGAAACTTGAGATAATCACAACCAATTAAAGAAATTAGTATAAAAATCTGATGGAGATGCTGGGTGATTACCGTCACTAAGAATTTTAGAAGTGTATTTAATACCAAATGAAATTTTTAAGAAAAAAGATCTCTTAGTTTGGTTTAAAAACCAGCCAGTTGATTAAATTATTCAGATATTTTTTAAATTTGTATTTGGAACAGAAAATTTCCTAAATATAGGTATTATTTTCCATAAAACGAATACCTATAAGTTATAACAATTTATTAAACTCTGCGATAAGCTTACTTCAAATGAAAAAAATTATAACACGCAACTTTTTAAATTTCCGAATAGCTTGTGGCCTCGAAAATCCAGGGCCTTGGTGAGAATTTCCCCAGAGTCTCCACCACCACTGGATGACAGATTTGTATGTCAATTCTTTGAACTTTTTCCTTTAATTAGTTTATCATTAGCCCAACAGTCATCGACCTAAGTCAAGTACAATTATTTTTACAGGGTCTACTATTTCCTGAAATTTTTCAGAATAAAATGTACATAAATGATCTCGAACTGAGTTAACACACCGCTCGTTACAATATTTATAGAAAAAGGAAAACATTATGTTCATTTTAAATTTTTCAACCTAAATAATAATCGTTTTTTAATTTTTGGGACACCCTGTAACATTTATTAACTTTATTGATAATCACCGCCAATGTTTCTTTAACGTCTCATTTAAAATTATATAATTTTGAGAAAACAATGTTTAAAAACACCTAAAAGTAACACATTTATATTAGCAGTGTTAAACTTTTCTTTATAGCATTTTTAATACATTTTAGTGTAATAATTTTCGTACTTTTCAAATAGTGTCATGAGAATGTAGGTATAAAGTCGAAAAATATGAGAAGGAAACAAAGATTTTCAATTTTATGACTAGTCCAAAGTATAAATAATAATAAAGAGATAGACGAAGAAAATATTAAAATGATATTTAAAAACAGATTCAATATTTTAAAAATTAAACGCACATTGAAATTGTCAAAAATTATTAATTTAATTGTTAATTCACCTTTTTTAAATGTATGTATTTTGATTCTTGTGTTTATTATGTATGCTCAACTTAAGTAATGATTTATTTAATAATTTTAATGTGTTTGTTTCTGAATATATTGAATGTGTTATTGATTATTTTAATATAATGTTTTTAAATTATGTCGTTCATCCATATTCTTATTCATATTCTTATATATAGCCCTGATGAAGATTTTAAATAAAATCGAAACGTTGCCCTAGTGAGAAAAACAAGACCCTGATTTCTGTGCATTACTACGACTTTTTATGTTTTTAAATATTTTTGTAAAGAAATGTTGAAAAATATGAATTAACACTTTGTATAAGTATACAAGTTATCCTTACAATGTGTATCTATTTCAATTTACACAATTAACAATTATTATAATTTTGTAATTGACTTATTACAAATTAAGTAGAATTTAAATAAAAAATTAATACGCAATGATTCACTATATTTTGACTCCCCATTAACTTTCTTAGGACCTTATTTGTTCTTGTACTATCATTTTCAAAAACTTCATAAAAAATAGTATTTTAGTAATTCACATTTTTTTATAACTCAAAAAACAAAAAAGTTAATGGGAGGGGTTCAAAATAGAATGAATCACCCTGTACAAGATGTCTGAAAAAATAAATTAGGAGAAGTTAATCACATGAAACCTTATCAAAATATGTTGTAAAACAGTTTTTCTAATAAAGGTTGTTCTAAATTTATTTTATTTTTAGAAATTTCAGTATTTTATTTATATTGATATATTTTTTTCGATAACAATAGCATTTTTACTAGTTTTAAATGTTTTTTATGCGTTATTTCTTCTGAAATATACATGGATTGTCCAAAAGAATTTGCGAAGAAATGGTAGTTTAACAGTCACCTATAAAAACAACTGTTTCCTTCATTAAAAACCATGTAGAATAATAAACATTCAGCAACAGGTGCGGAAAAGATTGCTTATTCATTATTCCAAAATATATTTTGAATATTTTAGCCTGTTTCACATATTGTACGCGACACGTTGTCAAAACGCTGCCCATTTTTCAATTTAATTAATTAATTAACTGTTTATTTTTATGCAAAACTCGAACAGTTTTATCTTTAAACTTATCTGATTGTGCCACTGAGAGTTCGCGTATCCTTTACCGCATTTTCATTAAATTAATTAATAAGGTATTACTATCTAGACGTTATCTTTGAAAAGCGACCATTTGGAGTTGCAAGCTATGCCAATTATCGCAAATATCCTCCGGTTTCAGAGATGGAAACATTAAACGCAGAAAATCCGGTATTAATTATGTTTTAGCCGCATCAAGTTATCCTCATTTAGCGGCTTGTATGCTTCTCCATTCGTTTAAGAGGTTTGTGTTGGAAAAATTGTGCTAGCGGGCAAAAAAAATTCAAGTAACAACTTAGTGTTCATTTAATTTTAAAGTAATAGAAGTTTGGAACAAGAAATTTTCATTTAAATATTATTGTAACTACCAAAAACTAAAAAATTACGTAGTAGGTAATTTTATTTTGGTAGTCCTTAGAAGTGGAGTTATTTTAACTATGTACTATTTTTTTGCAACTCTTCAAATTGCTCCTGTAGCTAGATTATAGCTACCAGGACAACTTATCTGTTCTAATGGCGATATATTATTCATTGTCAGTTTAATGGTTGTTGTGTTCATTTAAATAAACATCCTGGGGCACAACGCACTGCTTGTTTGTCCACCAATAAATCACTTATGCATGGCTTAATACAAAAATTGGAGGCAAACCGAGGAAGCACAGTTACTTCAACGGTTTCAGACGTATTTAGACTGACGCCGATTCGACAAACCAAACCGTAGTTTCTTTAGACTTGGATTACTTAGGATTTATCTTTCTATTTGCTCGACTGAAACAAAAATTAGAAAAGCGCTGCTGAATTTTCTGATAAACTTACTTAAATGAGTGAAACCTTGCTAGATACCAAATAAAATCTTAAATTATGGACGATTGCTACAGGGTGTTTTTAAATGAAGTAGCAAAAATGGTACCAGTGAATGTAGAGACATAAATAAGAGGATTGAAGTAAAAATACCTTATATGAAAGTTGTATCCCTGAGGCGATATACCCTCTTAAAGGAGGGGATTGAAATCCACATTTTAATTTTTTTCTTTAACGTGAGGAATGCTAGAGACACGAAACTTGGTATGAGCATGCTACTAATAAAGAGACAACTTTTCAATATTTGTTCGATCATTGACGTATTTTATAAAGGAGTGAAACAGTCAACCCCATTGAAATATTTCATTAGAAATTTTTTATATGATGCAAATTATTTATTTAAAAATATTTATTGGAAAGACTGATTTATTGCGCAACTTTTTTACCTCTTGTAATTTTTCGATAAAACCGATATTTTTCTAGTAAAAAAATTAGATGCGTCATCGTTCACTAAAGGGGTAATTGCGAAAATTTTTAAAAATAAAGTAGGCAGATGTCCTAACAAATAAATTGTTATTTATCATATTAATAAATTGACACTTTCTGTCAACCAATAATTAGTAACAATTGATTAATTTATTATCAAAATAATGATGGCAAAAATAGTAACGCTGCAGTAAGATTATACCACCAAAGATATCCAAACCGACCGATTCCTCATAGACAAACATTGGTCTCTGTGGAAAGAAGGCTTCGCGAAACTGGTAAAATTCAGCCCAATCGTGAGGGTGCCGGAAGAAGGCATAATGTCC